ACCATCACCACCATCACCATCATCACCACCATCACCACCATCACCATGGTATCAGCCCGCTGCATCTTCCTGTGAGAGATTTACAGTCGTCAACTGTGCTTTGAAGTCCTGTAGAGTTATAAAGAAGTGAAGAGGGGAGGTGGGAAGATGCTTCAGTTGGTAAAGGGTTTGCCTTGTAAGTATGAGAACTGGAATTGAACCCCCAAAACCTATCTACAAAAAAGCTTGTGATTCTTGTGCCAGGTCAATCTGATGGAGTCATTTTCTCACTCTCTGTCAAGGGTCCTCTTCCCAGATGACCTTTCACAGTGTCCAATTGACAAAACAGAAAGAAAACTAACCAACACAGTGAACTCCAGGCTGATGGGAGACCTAGCTGAGAAAAAGAGGCACAACACTACTATTCCCCCTTTACCTTCACACATGTATGCACACACATGTGTACCTGCACACATATGCGCACAGAGTGGAAGGAACAGTGAGTCACTAAGAAGGCCATGAACAGACCACAGCACTGGGAAACCCTTGTCTGGATGTGTCCTGCCATGCCACTATTGAATGGTGACCTGTTAATGACCCCCCTGGGAACCAGAAGCTAGCCTCTTTTCTGGCGGCCTTGCCCAGAGGGAAAGCTGTGACTTTCTGGCCACTCGCCCTTCTCTGCCTTGCTCTAATGTTAGTTTCCTTGTGTCTCTAAGAAAGAACAGAGAACAAACAAAAAACACAAAATAACTGGACGCTTAAACACTGGTTCTCAGCCTTCCTAACGCTGTGACCCTTGAATACAGTTCCTCATGTTGTAGTGACCCCCCAGTCACAACATTTATTTTCACTACTACTTAATACCTGCAATTTTACTGCTATTATAAATCATAATATAAAGATCTGTGTTTTTTGAAGGTCTTAGGCAACCCCTGTGAAAGGGTTATTCGACCCCTCTAAGGGGTCATGACCCACAGGTTGAGAACCGCTGCTATGAAGTAATGCTTTCGCTATCCAAAGTCTAGCCCATGGCCAACGTCTCTGGCTTCTGGATATTTGAACTCTCAGGTACACCCCAAATCCTGCAGGTTCCAGCAGACTGTGTACATGTTAAAGATTGAGAAGCCCTGGTACAGGCAAGTCTTTCTGCTTTTGGATGGATCCTCCAGCTCCCCACCATGCAAACCACCTCTGTCTTGCCTGCCTTGTCCTGTCTGTACAACTGTTCTGTCTTCTTCTGTGGGCTAGACTCCTGAGCATCAAGGTTTACTTAGATCATCATTATCACCATCACCACCATCACTATTATCACATCATCACCACCACCACCATCATCATCACCACCATCACCATCATCACCACCATCATCACCAACACCACCATCACCATCATCACCACCATCACCATCATCACCAACACCACCATCACCATCATCACCATCATCACCACCATCACCACCATCACCATCATCACCAGAAGTCAGAAATGTCTCCGTGTCTAGACGTAACAACCAAATTGTCCCCAGTTGTTGCTCTATGGCCACTGAGCATTAGAATTGGTTGAGCTGTAGATGGTGGGTCAGAGGCATCACCTAAAGGGCTGAGATTTCATCGCATTCAACACCTGTCTGGCGGGACAGGGAAGAGCTGTATGGAGCTTAAGGTTGCTTTCACCCAGACAGGACTTCTCCCACCCTCAGTGCCCCCCTGTAGAAACAGCTAGGAGACTCACAGATCACTGATGCTTTGTCCACAATGAAGACTCTGGAGCTATTATTCAGCTCCATTGGGCCAATGCCTGGGAGTCAAAGTGGAGGGAGATAGACTCACATCCTTGTGTTTCAGAAACAAAAGCCAGGAAGGTATACTTTTGGCACGTGGTCATCTGGGGTCTGTGGCACACAGCCTCCATATGGCTGTTGGGTAGAAAATGTCCTTTTGAGTGTATGATTTTTTTTAAAAAAAAAATGTTTGTTTCTTACTTTATTTTTTCTAACATAAGCAGCAAGGAGACACAGTGTGTGTTTAAGGTGGGCACCCTGATGGGCATGGGCATAGTGTTCAGCTACTGAGCCCAGCCATTGCCCCACGCGGGCCCCATTTTGTATGTATGGCAGAAACACTTAGAAAGCCTCCACTAAGCCATTACAAGTCCAGGTCCAGGGCTGCATGATGGGAATCCAGAAATACCCATCCTGCTTGAGCCAAGCAGCACCTCCCATTTCTCCTCCCCCATCTCCTGGCAGGCACTCTCTAGGACCAGAGGTGAGACTCTTTTGGTCTCATGATCTGACGTGTGAACATATAACATCATCTGGTGTCCTTTTGATACACAAGCAAGAAAGTGTGACACTCAGTCTGTCCTCAGGCCTTTGAAATCCAAGACCGGGCAGACAGGAGGAGGAAAGGAACTTAGGCCAAGGTGAAGCACCGATAGACAGAATCTTTTTATTTCTGCTGGACCAGGGCAATCACAGCCTCTTTAAGAAGTAATATACTATAGCTCAAGGACCCTCAAGGACTATAGCTTTTAGGAACACTGTGACTTTGTGCCCCAGCCCTGGCAAGCCCCACAGCTGGCAACAGCTGGCAAGGAGAACTCAGGCGGTGAAGAAGGAAGCTCAGGTCAATACCACTTCAGCAGGTGCCGGCTGGAAACTTCCAGAGTTTGACCTCGTGGTTAAACGCAGTAAAACTTCAGGAAAGGTTTCCAGGTGACAGTTATCACAGCAAAGTAGTCAAGCACCTGTGACCTTACAATAAGAATGAACTCTATTGGCTGATAAACAGTGCTCAGGGCAAGGGCCTCAGGAGGAAGCATTTGTGATAAGAATCAGGATGGATTCTATTGGTCGAGGATGCAAAGAACAGGGGGCCTCTTTCATACAGATGGGTTCTTTCCACCGAGAGATAAAGTTCAGGACTAGGGGGGCCTAATCGATGTCCAACATTTGGGAGATGGCTGGCTCACAGAACAGCGCAGAGACCACCAGATTATTAAACAGCCTCTATGCCAGCCTTTCAGGTGGGCCGGTGTCAGTCATCCCCTTCGTTTAAAGAAAAAAGGTGGGTGTGGTTAACAAGCCTTGTTCCACCAATGCTTGCTCGAAGCTGTACCCCCTGCTGCTTCAGACAAACTCACACCCCCTTTGATTCCACCGCTCATGTTCTGAGCAAGCCCTCTGACCACCTCCCAACATTGCCAGGAGGATGGAAGGAAATTGCCTCGCGGAGTCCCTGGTGCAACCTGCCTGTTGCAGGCATGCAGCACAGAGCTGCTCTTGCTTGTTCAGGGAATCCGCAGGTTCGGGTGGACTATTAGGCTGCATGACTTCAACTCTGCTTTCTTTCATCTTCCTGAGCAGCAGGATGCAGCTGTTTTTCCCCAAATTCTCCATTCCCGTGGCTCTTCATATGGAGAATCTCAAGTATGCTACCAGCAGACTTAAATTGTTCTATGAACACAGGGACCTCATGGGAATCACTGTGAAAAGGACACCCATGAGGGTCACCACGGTAGGTTAACACCCGTGATGAGGCTCTTTATGCTTAATGGTTCCTATGGTTTCCCTTTCCTAACGCATTTAGGGACCGATAAGCACCCAGTGTTCTGTGAATGCAATGGGTGACATGGTGGGTGACAGCTCCAGCAGTGTCCTGGACCTGGCTGTTCCTCAGAGATGGCTGTTCTAGGGAAATAAAAAGTTGTGTTCTCATGCGCACTACCTGTTGTGGAGACAGCCAGGATGCTGGGTGTGAATATGCACCAAGGGACCGTCACAGCCCTGCTGACATGAAGGCATCCTGTGAATACAAGAGCGTGGTGTCATACACACATCCGGTGTCCACCCACAACCACACTGCAAGAGGTTAGGAAGTTAGATTACGGCAGAATACGGCAGGGATGGAGTCAAGCCACACAAGGGGGCTTTTCCTGGAACAGAGAGGGGGTGCCGAGTTACTGGTTGGCAAGGTTGCAGGGGAGGCCCAAAGAGCAGATGCTGGACCCAGTGACTCAACGGCCTGGCCTTCAGGTTACATGCAGGTCACGTGTAGTGTGAGGACCATCAGGGCCTGTGACAGGAGAAAGATTGGATGGAATCTGAGCCAGTGAAAGGAGAGCGCTGCAGGCCACCAGAGAAACAAGCCAGTGAGTGACAGCAGAGGCGGGCTTCAGAGAAAAGGAAGGGAGTGGGAAGAGAGTCTGGGAAAGTGTCATTTCAGGGGTGGAAATTCCAGGACTCTCAGTGGCTCTAGAAAGGGCAAAGAATAAGAAAGCTATCCTTCTGGAAGGCAAGGCTGTGAGCCCGGCATAGAAGCAGGTGTACAAACCGTTGAGGCTACAAGCGCGCGCTACTCCCCAGAAAGCCAGGTTGCCTCTTGGCTGGGAGCAGAGGGAGGAAAACAGCCACAATGTGAAGTCAGAGGTGGGGGGTGGTGCAGACTGAGTGAAAAAAACGGCACAGTGTTCTGGAACTCTCGGGGATGCAGAAATGAGCCTCCATTCTGCAACATCATGCACCTACCTATCCAGTGCTAGACCTGGATCCTGGGCATCCTGGGCCCAGTGCAGATAGAGAGTCAGGGTGATACTTGCTGAGGGTGGGCTTGTCAGAGCTCCTGCTCCCTCAACACTCTGAACCTTGATCTCCAAAGGCAGTGCACAGGACGGAGCTGACTGTGAATGAGGATGGAGCGGAAGAAGAAGACATCTCCAGCCTCCGGTCCATCCCGAAGCCACTCATCCCTTCCTTCCACTTCAATAGGCCCTTCATAATGTTAATCCTGGAGGGGGCTGGCCACAACCTTCTCTTCATGGGGAAAGTGATGAACCCTAATAGTGCCTGATCCATTTCCAAGAAAGAGTTGAGACTTTAGAAGACAGGAGAGTGACCAAAGCATAGGCTAGTGACTGGCCTATGGTGCTCACAGGAAGGCTGGGGTTGGGGCGGTGAGTCTGACCTTCCTTTTCTCATGACTGTGGCTGGGGCAGTGGCTTGCTAATCTTTGATGTGAGAGCGGCTACTGAAGGGGGCCTCCTGCAAAGACAGGAAGACAGACACACAGGTTAAGCATCTGTGTGGGAGAGCTCCAGACCTGATGTCCTTGAAGGACCACAAAGGAAGGCAGTACATGGAGGGTAGAGCTGGAGGCCCTGAATTCTGATTTTCTTGGATCTGTACTGCCTGGGTTGTAGTAGAGTTCTATTCCTTCGTAGATCGGTTCAATAAAACAGCAGATGAGAATGTTGTGATGGGTGTTCTTCAACAGCGGGGCAGGGAGGGACCTGGAGGGCCTTGGAGACTCTGGAAGAGCAACCTGGGAGCATGCTCATGAGAAAGGTCAGAGCCCTCCTTCCAGTGCTGTTTGCTGGAATCCAGATGACTCAGTGGCTCCCAAGGGTGTCTGCCAAGCCTCCATCTCCTTGGCACGTGGCTGGGAAGGAAGCGTGCAGAGCAAGTCTCTGGGTCTCTTTGCTGAAAGGATCTACAGGAATTGAAGCTGTATCAAAGGCCATCTTCGGGCGACAGTCAGCACTGCTCTCGCAAAGACAGCTCCCCATGCCTTTTCCATGAGGGACCCATCCTCCGCGAGAAAAATGTCTTTGCACAAGTCGTCAGGGCCAGCATCCATTGAGCACCAACTGCATACACAGAAGCACAGTCATAGAACTGAAAGATGAAGGTAGAGCAGGGTCTCCAACTTCAAGAGCCCATTCCACAGACGCAGGGCATGCCACCGTTCTGCAGCCATCACGGGTGCAGAGGCGTGGGCTAACACTCCAACATGTCTTCTTGATCCACAAACAGGATTCACATTCTTGATGACAGTCATGTCAGATGGAGTTTTGAGAGGAATGGGTGAGTAGCCCAGAGCTGGCAGTGGGCCTCACTGTGAGAGAGGGAAAAGAGGTCGCTTTGCTGCCAGCTGATGCCAATGAGCATCAGTGAACGAGCAGTTCAAGTTGAGGGGAACTTGTAGGAACTTTGAATATTCCTTTGGTCACCCGCAGATACCGTCATATAACAGCCACGGCCTCTCCAGATCTCACAACCTTCATGCTCCAGCTGAGTGAGACCTGCCAAGCATGCGGCTGCCCTCCTGCATTCCAGCTCATTCCATTTGTATGCAATTCCAACAACACTGCAGCCCCACCAGGATGCACAGCCCATAGAGGGTTCTGGTTATGCTTCCCCATCTTCCGTCAGGTTCCCCTTGATCCCTTACTCAGTGAATGTCCATAGTCAGTTCCATCCCGGCTCTTTTGCTCTTATCCCTGGGCAAAATCAGCTAACTCCATGCTTAAGTCTCAGCTTCCGGAAGTGGCCAAAGACCATGCGCACATTGATGGCCTCACTTTACTCGGGACTCTCACCTCTGAGCTGTCCTTAGGCTCAGGGTGGTGACTGGCCTTTCACGATCCCTCTGTCCACCCTCATCCCACCCCTTCCTAAGTCACTCTCAGCCCCAACCTCCCTCTCTATCACCCTCAGCTGACGACCTCGTTAACCACCAACTACTCCCATCCACCCCTCCCTCCCCTCCTGTGACATCAGGAGCCTGTCCTGCCCAGACTGAGGCCACTCCATCACCTGCTAGCTGCCTTTTCTAGCTCTCAGGCAAACCCTGCTGCAGATGTCACCACCTCAGAAGCTCTAGTCACAGACCTTCCCTGTCACCAAGTTGTTGCTAGCAGGATACAAACAGTCTTCTAGGTCCCAAAGGGCTAAGCATCTCCACCTCTCAGGCTCCGCCATTCCCAACACACAGGTCTCACAGGCTCAGACTGGCCACCACTCCACAGCTGCTGTCCTTGGTAGTCTTTCCACAGTCCTGACATCTACAAAATGTTAGGTCTTCGCAGGTTACACCTTCACCAATGGCCTCCTGGAGGACTCTGACCCTGCCGTGTGGCACCAGGCCTCAGCCTCCATGTCCCCTTCAGTCCTATAGTTTCCACAACCAATGAGACTGCACCTTGACCAGTGGCCTCTCCTAGTCTCTCACTGTGCCAGGTTTCTTATGCTCCCATCTTCTCCTCAGGTCTGAAGCTCTCATACTATCAACACCAGCTACATGTAGGAGATTCTTACACATGACCAAGCTCCGTTGCCAGAATGAGGTGTAGCCCTGACCTCCTCTACCCACAGTCCCTCTGTGCTCCCCTGAGGAAATACTCTAGAAGATTCCATCTCAGTGCTGCTAGTCTCTTCCTTTTTACTTAATTTATTAGATTTTAAAAAGATACCTATCCAAGTTCCCACTTCCTCCTCTCCTCCCATTCTCTCCACACACCCTCCCACCCCACCCCCATTTAATCCTCAAAGACGGTAAGGCACATTGGCTTGTGGAAGGTCCAAGGCCCTCCCTACTCTATCTCAGCTGAGCAAGGTATACATGCGAAGAGAATAGATCCCAAAAGTCAGTACCTGTAGTAGGGATAAATCCTGATGCCACTGTCAGTCTGCCCCAGCCATGCAACTGTCAACCACATTCAGAGGAACTAGTTTGGTCCTATGCTTGTTCCTTCCCAGTCCGGTTGGATTTGGTGAGCTCCCATTAGCTCAGGCAAATTGTTTCAGTGCGTGAACCTATCATGGTCTTGACCTTCTTGCTCATATTCTCATTCCTCCCACTCTTCAGCTGGACTTTGGGAGCCCAGTCTAGTTCTGCGATGTGGGTCTCTGCCTCTGCCTCCATCAGTTGCTGAATGAAGGCGCTATGGTGGACTTAAGATATTTATCAGTCTGACTAGAAGGCAAGTCAAGATCGAGCCCCCTCTCCTCTATTGCCCAGGGTCCTAGGTGGGGTCATCCTTTTAGATTCCTGGGAATTTCTCTAGAGTCAGGTTTCTGTGAACCCTATAATGGCTCCCTCAATCAAGATATCTCTCCTTGTTCTCATCTCTGTCCTTCCTCCATCTCAACCATCCCATTTCCTCAAGTTCTCCTCTCCCTCCCTCTCTCCCCTCCTCTTCTCCTCCTACCCTCCTCTCTCTGCCACCCCCATGCTTCCAACCCTGCCAGTCAGTCCTGTCCATCTCTTCTTAATCACAGCTGATTTCTCGGCTTCCAACAAGCTTCCAGTTGTCCCATTGGTTGTCCTAATCTGATGGAGACATTTCCTCAACTGAGGATCTCTCTTCCCAAATAACCATAGCAATGCCAAGGAGACAAAAACAACAGCAACCAGCACAAAGGCTTCACTTCCAGTGTCCTCACACGAATGGCCCTGATACTTTGTCTTTCTCTGAAACCTCACATGCATTTCTCTCGGTTCTCTTCCTGAGTGCCACACCTCTTCAATCACAGAATAGTCAATGGCTTTTCCAGGCCAGAGTTCCAAGATGCTTCCACAATAGTCTCCAAAACACCATCAGGTCTGTCACATCAATACCCCACTCCTGGTACAAATTTCTGTCCTAATTTGGCTTTTTATTGCTATGATAAAACAGTAATCAAGAGAAGTTTGAGGAGGAAAGTTTTTTGTTTGTTTTGTTTGTTTGTTTTTTGCCTTTCATGTCCTGACTACGGGTCATCATTAAGGGGAGCCAAGGCAGGAACTTAGGGCAGTAACCTGAAAGCAGGAACTGAAGCAGAGGCTGTAGTTGGTGGATCTTTTAAAACTCTTTAGAGGCGCACCACCAAGCTCCCAAATAAATACACAGAGACCTATTCTTACTTAGGAATGCCCAGCCTTAGCCTGGCTTGTTACTAGTCAGCTTTTCTTAACTTAAATTATCCCATTCACCTTTTGCCTCTGGCCTTTTACCTCTCTCTATTTCTGCATATTTCTCCTTCCTTCCTTCCTTCCTTGCTTCTTTCCTTCCTTTATTCCTTCCTTCCTTTCTCTCTTTTTTTCTTTCTTTGGCCATGTCTGGCTGTGTGGCTGTGTGGCTGTGTGGCTGGGTAGCTGGCCTCTGACATCTTCTTTTCTCATTCCTTCTATTTATTCCCTCTGCCTTGCAGCCAAGCCCATCCTTTCTCCTCCCTAGCTATTGGCTATTCAGCTCTTTATTAGGCCAATCAGGTGTTTTAGGCAGGTAAAGTAACACAGCTTCACAGAGTTAAACAAATACAACATAAGAGAATGCAACACATCTTTGCATTATTAAACAAATATTCCACAGCATAAAATAATGTAACTAATTCAACAAGAAGAGACCACAGAAGATCACTGCTTCCTGGCTTGCACATCATGGATTTCCCAGCTTACTTTCTTATACAACGCAGGGCAACCAGCCCAGGTGTACCGCCTCTCACAGTGTGTTGGGCCCTGCCACATCAATCACCACAGAACTGTCTACAAACTGACCTACAGGCCAAGCTAATGGAAGCATTTTCTCAGTTAAGATCCCATCATCTTCTCAGATAACCCTAGCTTGTATCCAGTTGATAAAAATAACACATTATCTTTATAAGCAATGAACTCTGAGGTTAAGAGTGTGTACTCCTCTTGCAGAGGACCTGAATTCAATTCCCAGCACCACATAAGGTGGCTCACAACCACCTGTAACTCCTCAGAAGATTCTAAACCTCTTGTGCCTGAGGGTACCTGCACTCACTTACACACACACACACACACACACACACACACACACACACACTTAAAATATTAAGATAGAAACTCATATATTGAAATTCAGTTTTCAGAGAAAAATGTGCCAAGGAAACTCTATTGAGGACAAATGATCTTTTCAGCAAACTAACCTTGGAAGGCTTGATACTCAGATGAAAAGGAAAAGGGGGTTAGGAGAGAAGAAACTGGAGCAAGAGGAAGTAAAGAGGAAAAGGAAAGAAAAAAGGAAGAGAGGGAGGGAGAGAAAGAATGGAAAAAGAACATAAATCTCACCCCACATCCTACTCAAAATTCGCTCACAATGAATCTATATACCCACAAAAAAGCCTAAAACTAACAAAATTCTAAAATAAACCACATGAGAAATCTTTATGGCCTCAGCTTAGGTCAAAAAATTCTTTAGTCAGGCAGTGGCGGAGCACGCCTTTAATCCTAGCACTCAGGAGGCAGAGGCAGGCGGATCTTTGTGAGTTCGAGGCCAGCCTGGTCTACAAGAGCTAGTTCCAGGACAGGCTCCAAAGCTACAGAGAAATCCTGTCTCAAAAGACCAAAAAAAATTTCTTTTAAAAACACCAAAAAAAATATGAGCAATAAAAGGATAAACCATAAAAGACAGAACTTGGCCAAGAATTGGACTTCAAAGTACTACTAAGAAATTGAAAAGTTAACCCAACAGCTTATC